AACAAAACGACAATAATAAAATTAATTTCAAAAAATAAATAGCAGTTTACCGTATCCACATTCCACCAAGGAACCATGAAGTTGAGGTATATAGAAATACCAGAAATAAACCCCCTCCAATCGAAACCATCCTCAAGAACATGGCAAGCAAAAAAATTAGGAGGCATTATTGTATACCGATCACTATCAGATCGTCTCTCCATCAACAGTCTAATCCCAATCGTCACATGTTGCGAACGTTATGATACTTTTGTTATTAATTGATCAATAAAAAAAATTACAATAATAAAAGAAAAGATAGTTACCGCTTCATCCAATCATCCATTATGTGTATGCCCAAACAACGCACTCCAAAAATCTCTATCTAATACCAAATTGTACAAACGGTGCTCCACGTTATATGCAATAAAAGAAATAATTTTGTAAAACAACCTCACCGCCTGCTACATAAGGTTGCATGCGCAAAACCGAGAAGTCATGAGCAACAGTGAATGTTAGAGGAGGGATGGGGGTTGTTGATTTGGCATCAACCTTCTTCTTTGGTCTTGGCTTTTCCTTTGGTGTCATGTGCAACTAAAACAATATTAAAACAATTTAAATCATTATGTTTCGAATAATTCACATAAAAACTTAAAATAAGGATATAAGCTTTTAAATTCAATAAAGACCTCGGTGTAAGGAGTACAAATATACTTTGATGGATTTCGAAGCCTAGGTCTATCGGGTGTAACTTTGTTGCCATCAAAAACATGATCATCAAAATGATTTACGGTCCCTGTAATTATTACATCTTCCTCTAACACCCAAATTAATAAGATATAATCATTAATAAAAAATGTATGAATCTATTAACAAACAATAAAAAAAATGTAAGTATAGCAACCTGTTCAGGTTCATTATCAGAACAGGTTCATTATCTTCAAAAGCAAATACATCATCATCGAATTGATTCGTACTCCGCCCCGTTGTGTGTATCCTCTCGTCCAACTCCTACATAAAAACATTATAAATATTAACGAAATGCGCCTTAATGTTTAACAATTAAAATCAAATTTGTAATATATATAATAACCTTCTCGTCTTCAATATCATCAAAAACATTTTCATTGGCATTATTTTTATTCATCGCCTCATCATCTAAAACCTACATTTTCAGCTATAAAATATTAACAAAAATTTACAAACTTGTTAGCATATTATATCATAAATGTAAGGTGTCACTAACCTTTTCACCAAATTTTGTATGGAATTACGCAGGTTCCTCAAAAGTGATGTTCCATATGCTTTCATTATCCACTTCTTCTACAAACACCTTAGTAGGTTCTTGGTTCATAAACACATGTTGCTCGAGTGCATGTAGCCTTTTCAACACCTCCTCTAAGCTTGGTTTCCCACTATGTCCACCTCTACCGTGAGAGCGACCACTAAAAAACATACTAGACGAAGATTCGTTTTGTCTCCTAAAATGGCCCCGTACTGGGGATGGAACTGAATTCCGTTCACCATATAAATACTCTTGACATGACATATAATAAGAAGACACCATATCAATATCACTCAATGACATGTTATGTCTTGGTCGTCGTCCCTCCTAAAACAATTAAACATATTAAAAATGCAAATAAAAGTGCAATCATGAATTTTTTAAAATTAAAATAATATTTAAAAACCCTCTGTCATGTCAAAAAAATTTGTTCACATCAACCCATTTCAATTTTTTGGTACCACTCCATCGTTTGATCCTAGACGTGTCTCTATTTTTTGTAATGCAAATCCACCAGCACGAAGCTGGAAGCATCTTATATAGCTATATCTACAATTTCACAATTATAGTAATAAAAATTAAAATAACTAACATAGCAATAACATTTTACAAATAATAATAAATTTGTATACCCTAAATGGCGCCGTAAATCCATAAACGGAGTATTTAAAAGTTTGGCGACGCTCTGACAGTGAAAAATATATATTTATCTTGTTCCACATATCCTCAAGGCCATCATAGGTAAACTCACACAGATAGCTACCCCAAGCAAAACTGTCAAAAAATAAAAATTAATTATAATATACATTAACATTAATAATATGAAACTTTCAAACTAGACAAAAAATACTTGTTCCACACATCCAAATTCTCGGCCAAAAAAAAGGTCTTGCGGCACCCGGTCATTTATTTCTTTCCCAAAAATCCTTCACACAAAACGTATATAAGACACACTCTAACTGCATCATTGTCCGTAACTTCTAAGAAATGATGATTTAAAATAAAAAAATTCAAGTCGCAGATTTTCACCGAACTATTTGTATGGTTCGGAAATAGACGTTCCCGTAATAAACATCTTTTTTGACTACTAACATTTTTTTTTAGACTTTTTTCCCAATCATTTTTGGATACACACCAAAATTAAACCCGGTTATCTAACAAAATTTCTCCGGGCCATAAACCATTTTCGTATCCCCCAATATAAAATATAATCGTTTTATGTCATCTGGGGATACTATAGCGTCCGGCCGTAGCTGATGAAGAAACGTTTTATGGAAAATCAATCCATCCCCTTGTAAATGAGGAACGTCTAACAAGTAACCAAATACAGTCTGTCTAAAACTTGCGCGTCGTGCACCATGCAACACCTCCAATATTTCCCAAATGTTGCATCCCGATCCTTTTAGGTTGGCAACAGCTTTAACATTTAAATTTCTATAATCATATTGAAAAACAATATATTAACAATATGTAAACCAACATGTACTCTAAAAATATATAACAATATTGTAACCAACTATTTTCTTTAAAAATATCAGTATATTAAATGAAATAAATAAACCAACATTCAAATTACAACTATTTTCTTTAAAAATTCGGGATATTAAATGGAATAAATAAATCAACATTCAAATTACAACCATAACAATGCGTAAACCAACATGTAGACTAAAAATATATAACCATATTGTAGCTATTTTTTATAGTAACGACAAGTAAATAAACACTAATTTAAAAAACTAAACTGCATATAGACTAAAAATATGCAAAAAAAAAAATTGAAGAGAAAATATGCAAATGTAATACCACATCAATCAATAATAAGCATTATCTTATTAAAAAACTCATTTCACTAAACTTATTAACAAAAAATTACCATATGTACAACAACTCAATGCACACTTTGCGCATTTATATATTTGTACATTCATACAACCACTAACCAAATAGCATCAAAACTTCAAGGCTACTAATAAATACTACTCTATCTATCAAATACGATACAATTACCCAATAACACACAATATAGTTTGGTTTTTGTTTTCCAAAAACTAATAGAAAAATTATAAATAAACAAAACCTACACTTGATAAATGTTGATTAAAACACAAAATGAGTTAAGATCTTACCATATTTTCAGGATTGTTGAAGAAATCGTCCATGATAGCTCTAAGGAAATCACACACACCCACAGAGAGAGAGAGAGAGAGAGAGAGAGAGAGAGAGAGAAATGTAGGAAAAAAACGTTTTTATAGTGCTTGACAACGAAATCGCAGATGAACATCACCAAATCGCAAATGGACTTTTTCATCTGCGAACGTACAAGTGCCTAAAGCACATAGGCACTTGTACTTTCGCAGATGGGAAGGACAAAATCGCATATGCACTTTTTCATTTGTGATTTTAGTGGCTAAATTTACAATTTTAGTTTTTTTTTACTATTTTTTACAAAGTAATTAATGTATTTGGCTAAATTTGCAATTTTCTCTTATTAATATATAATAAATTAATAAACTCTAACAAAAGATACAAAAATTGTCATTGGAGCCTATGGTCCATAAAGATAATATTGTCATTTTAAAAAAATTAACAATGTTAAATTAAATTAATAGATATCAAAACCACAACAAAATTTGTTGAAAATGACCAAAACTGTAACTTTTTAAAAGTTCAGACCTTAGCCTTAGCCGCGTCAAATAAAAAACAACAAAGACCATTTTTGCAATTTTATTTTTAATGACATTAATTGTGAAGGTTTCTGATTTCTTGAAATAAAACATTATTGTAATCCCTAAATAGCAAGTATTGTGAGCGATTTATATATGTATATTTAAGTTTAAAAAACACATTATTTTCGTTTAATTATTAGTCAACCAAAGATTTAATGACGTTATTTTTGAAGGTTTATGATTTCTTGAAATAAAACATTATTGTAATCACTAAATAGCAAGTATTGTGATCTATTTATATTTGTATTGTGCTTACGATTAGTTGTGGACTTGATGACTGTTAGCTATGGAATGCAAGAGCACTTATCAGAAGTCAAGATATTCACACCTGACTTTTTGTTCACGTCAACTCCAAAGAACATACACGAGCTTTTAGAGCTTTCGGTACCATTAAAAAGGAAAATACATACAATACTCACAGTTAACACATCTCCGTAGAATTATGATTGAAAACCTTGTGTACACTTTTTCCTTTCATTTAATAAAAACAAAATAAGTGAAACTAAAATTAAAAAACAAATTTCGTTGTAAAAACACCACTACAAATACGAGAATTGAAATCCTAAATAAAATAACTAAAACCGAAACAGACAAATGCTTAAAACCTAAAACCATAAATAATTTCATATGCAGGCACTAGTAAATCTATATGAGCAATAGTTCTAAGTAAAAGGGAGTTTGGATAGGGAAAAAAAAAAGCTTATAGGTTATTGTCCCTACAGCTATAAGCTAAATTTAAGTTTTTGGATAGGAAACAATAAAAATCAGCTTATTGTGCTGAGAATAAGCTAAATAAGCTAATTTTAAAAAACATCTCCCTTGCTTATAGCTTATTGCTTATTTCTAATCCAAACACTTTTTCGAAAGCAGCTTTCTTGGTTTTAAATAGCGTAAAACGCCCGAAAGCGCTTTAGGCTTTGGGAGCAAAAGCGCTAACCCAAAAGCACGCTTAGAGCACAGAAGCACATGCTATTAAACAAATTGAAAAATATCGAAATTATATATTAACTTATAAATACTTAAAAAAAACCCTATAAAGCATATTGCATAAGGCATCAATTTCAAAAGTGGGCATCAGGCATGGTGAAAAAAAAAAAGGCAGAAGTATCTTCTTAAATACTAAATTCCTAATCATTAACCGTAAAAACTAAGAATTAGCAAAATAATCATCTCCATCTTGGACAACATCTATCTCCTCCACCATCACTTCCGATATCTTCTTCCACCTACACAAGTCAATGGCATTACATAATCAATCAAGAAATCAGGAGGCACTGTACACAACTGCAGATTAAGTGTAAAACATGTAACATGATTAACTGATTAAGTGTAAAACATCTACCATTATTAACCGATTACAGAAGAAGTAGAGTAGAATAGGAGATCATCAAAAGCTATAAAATTGGTGAAGAAGACATGGTAAAACATAAAAGATTTAAGAAGTTGTACCTTGTTTTGATCTTGATTAATGATTCCAACTATTGTGTTCAGAGGAGGATGAAGATGAAAATGGAGAAGAAATCCCGCTACTGATGTTGTCTTTGTTGTGCGACGTATTGATTCTCATTTTAACAAGCCCTACGACCTATGTATCTAAATAAAAATAGACTAAACTTGGCCCATCTAATAAAATAAGCCCATTATCCCTAAAGTGTGCCTAAGCACCGCTTTATCTAATTAGTTGCTCGATTAAGCGGCGATTTTAGGAAGCTAAGCACATGACTAATACAAAAGTGTTTTTACTTTTTCACCAGAGTGCTTAGCGCTTTAAGCGGTCTGAAGCGGCGCTTTTTAAAACTAAGGCTGCTTTCTCTCACCGCTATAAGCTAATAAACTATAAGCTAATTTATCCAAACACCCTCTAAAAACTTAACACACAACACAACAAATTACAAGGAAAATAGATAACTGAAACAAAAATACCATAAAGAAATCTAAAAATTTATGGATGGGTAGATAAAGCAGGACCATAACTGCTCCATCAATCTTCAAGACATAAATAAAGAAAGGATATGATATGTCTTAGTCATACTAACAAACCTACTAAACACCATGATATTAGACACCACCATAATCACACTTCAACACAGCACCCTCAACATTTACTTTTGTGCTTGCGTAGCGTGCCTATGTGAACATCCTCTCTCTTAAACGTCCTGCAAACACCCCAAATATATTAGAACCCTAAACGCATACATTATGAACACAAAACAAAACAATACCTGTGGCAGAACGTGCAAAAATGTGCACATTCAACAGCAGAACTTGTTTCTGCCACATGGTTTCCTTCTTCCTGTCAATAACTTCACATTATATAATCATATAAAGTTGTTTTAAAATATAAAAATATAAACCAAGTAAAACAAAAATATCTAAACACACAAAAATCAAGATATAATTCTATCCCAATTAAAAATGTCAAAACTAACCTGATTTGTTGTCTCTTCCTCTTCGTCATCATCAGAATCTGAAGAATCTGCATCACTTTTAGAATAAGTGATCAAGAACACATGTAAACTTGGTTAAGGGGTCAGCAACACCAAACATCAATAATAATTAAACCGTATAAATTTAGAGACTCTAAGTTAGTAAAGCAGTACGGTTAAGAAAAGGATACCTATAACCAAGAGAAATAAATTGTTGGAGCCCAGAGAAGTAAACGCTGCCATTTTCCCAGGTATGAGAGATCTGAATGTGTCTGTCAAACACCAACATTAATTCTTGTTGTGGCAGCCTCTTGGGGTGAAGGGTTCCTACTAAAAGCTTTTTGCCATCAACAGTGATGTGCAAATAGACAAACTCATCTATTTCCTTCTTAGTTTCTCCAAGATGAACCTGAGTACAAAGAATTTTACTTAGCATACTGTTAACGCAACGAAATAAGCATATCCACTGTCCCAAAAGTTATACCTTATAAATACGCAAATTATCGCCTCTACGAACCCTTACATTAACTGATTGACCACTTTTAATCTCAACACCTAAATCAAAACAATATGAATTTGACAAAAAAAACTATACAGCTTAGAAAAAAGTACAACAAACCACTGTTCAGTTTTTCACGTAATATTTTTAGGAAAAAGATAGTGAGGTGTTCATATATGTAACCCTTAAACAACAGTACATATTATAAAACACAGTCTATATAAAACTGCATTTCAGTCAATTTGCACGACAATATACCATCACAGATAATAAAACTGAAAATAACATATAAACTACGCATCCAATATCCACATGAAAACATAAAGAGAAAACAGGTATGTGACAAAACCACAGACGGGAACAAAAGAAAACGATGAATATCATCAAGGTAAATAAAAGTAAAAAATTGCGTTATCAAAGCCAAAAGAAGGTCCGGATTTTCATAGAAAAAAAAAAAGAAAAAAAAGACTAAATGAAAAGGGATGACAGAAACAGAGCGTATAGATACGTTACCCCAAAACGGCATTTTTGCAGATGGAGAGAGAGGTTCTGATAGAAAGGGAGAGGCGGAGAGAAGTGTGTATGAGCACAGAGAAAACGTTAGGGCATCAATATATCATCGTCTCAAAAGAAACTTGAAAGCCGACTAGGCTTGGGCCTGAAAGGCTTTCAAATATTTAGCCCAAAATTTGACACGATTATAAAGGAATTAGGCGAATGCCCGCCTTGCGCAGAATCATTTGTATAACTAAAATCTTTACATTTTTTTTTTTTTAAATATAACATTATTGTTAAATTTGATATAATAATTCGTATATAAGGAGATATAATATATTGATTATTTTAAAGAGTAAATTACACGAATGGTGCCTATGGTTTGGGTGATTTGCGCGCTTGGTCCCTAACTTATTTTTTTAACTCAGAAGGTCCCTATTATTTATTTTTGTTACGCGCTTTCTCTACTATTTGTTTTTGTTACATGTTTGTTTTTGTTACGCGTTTGGTCTCCGTCTTACCTAAAAAGACTATTATTTAAATAGGGAAAAATTGTGGGGTATGTAAGGTAAGGTGAATGGGTGGGCTGAGGGTGTGTTTATTTAAATAAATTCGAAAATCAAGGGAAAAATAGTCTTTTAAGGTAAGACAGTGACCAAGTGCGTAACAAATAGTAGGGACCTTCCGAGTTAAAAAAAATAAGTCAGGGACCAAACATGTAAATTACTCTAAACCATAGGGACCATTCATGTAATTTACTCTATTTTGAATTATATGATAATATATACACCTATTAAAACTGCATAATCTCAATCTTTTGAATGACCTCTACCCGCGGGTTACTCATAAATAAATTAAAATATAATATATAGTTTAATGTTATTTATACTTGTAGTTATTATTAATTAATTTTTTAAAATTTATTTGCTTAACGGTTTAATTTCTATTATTGTAATTATTTAATACATCAAACATTTTTTTTAAAGTTAACAATATAATCATTTATATAGAGTTATTTTTAACTATTGTTATTGTAAGTTATTTTAAGCTAATTATATGAAAACTTTTAACGATTATAAAAATATCTTTAGGAAATATTTTAGTTAAATTGATACTACAATTTAGTTTTTGCATTTAGCACTACAATTTATCATTTTTAACTATTCACAAAATATTCTTTGGGTTTTTATGTGGAACTGAAATTTATATTGAAGTTGACCTTGCAAATTGCAATGTTATATTTAAATTAACAATTTAAGTATTTTGTCCAAACTGTTCAAAAGTTGTAGCTTTAAATTGATAATCGTTTGCATACAACATATTAAATCTAATAAATTAATATGTTAAAAGTTAAAGACTAAAAGACATAACTCTATAAGTATAAGTAAAAATATTATTTTAATATTGAAATTTAGTTTATTTATTATTACACTTTAGGTTTGATATTTGTTTAACCTTATTAACCAACTTATAATCATTATTAGAAAGACACTACAGTTTATCACTTTTAACTATTTACAAAATATTCTTTAGGTTGTTTAAGTTGAACTAAAATTTATATTTAAGTTGATCCTGTAAGGTTATATTTAAATTAACAATTTAAGTATTTTATACAAATTGTTCAAAAGTTGTAGCTTTAAAATGATAATGGTTTACATACAACAACATATTAGACCTAATAAATTAAGTATAATATGTTAAAAATTAAAAACATAACTTTATAAGTAGAAGAAAATATATTCTTTTAATATTACCCGCGGGTTACTCATTAATAAATTAAAATATAATATATAGTTTAATGTTATTTATACTTGTAGTTATTATTAATTAATTTTTTAAAATTTATTTGCTTAACGGTTTAATTTCTATTATTGTAATTATTTAAAACATCAAACATTTTTTTTATTTTAAAGGTAACAATATAATCATTTATATAGAGTTATTTTTAACTATTGTTATTGTAAGTTATTTTAAGTTAATTATATGAAAACTTTTAACGATTATAAAAATATCTTTAGGAAATATTTTAGTTAAATTGATATTACAATTTAGTTTTTGCATTTAGCACTACAATTTATCATTTTTAACTATTCACAAAATATTCTTTGGGTTTTTTAAGTGGAACTGAAATTTATATTAAAGTTGACTTTGCAAATTGCAATGTTATATTTAAATTAACAAATTAAGTATTTTGTCCAAACTGTTCAAAAGTTGTAGCTTTAAATTAATAATGGTTTACATACAACATATTAAATCTAATAAATTAATATGTTAAAAGTTAAAGACTAAAAGACATAACTCTATAAGTATAAGTAAAAATATTATTTTAATATTGAAATTTAGTTTATTTATGATTACACTTTAGGTTTGATACTTATTTAACCTTATTAACCAACTTATAATCATTATTAGAAAGACACTACAATTTATCACTTTTAACTATTTACAAAATATTCTTTAGGTTGTTTAAGTTGAACTAAAATTTATATTTAAGTTGATCCTGTAAGGTTATATTTAAATTAACAATTTAAGTATTTTATACAAATTGTTCAAAAGTTGTAGTTTTAAAATGATAATGGTTTACATACAACAACATATTAGACCTAATAAATTAAGTATAATATGTTAAAAATTAAAAACATAACTTTATAAGTAGAAGAAAATATATTCTTTTAATATTGAAATTTAGTTTATATATGATTACACTTTATGTTTTATATTTATTTAACCTTATTAACTAACTTATAATCATTATTAGAAAGAAATTGAAAAGTCATGGGAGTTTCAAATGAATGTGGTGAAAGGAAAAATGAATGTGAGTTTCAAATGAATGTGGTGAAAGGAAAAATGCTAGCTTTATAAGTATACTAGGCGAATCCTCGTGCGTTGCGCGAAAATACAATTATATAGTTAAAATAAAAAACTTTACCAAATTATTATTTAATATTTGGGTAAATGACACAAAAAACACTATTTTTACACAGAAATTCGATTTTGACACCGTGTTTTTTTTGTGTCAATTTTGACACTGTGTTTTCCAATTTGTTACAATTCTGACCACTTGACCGGTTACATGATGACGTGACATGATGACATGTCAGTTTTGATGACGTGGCATGCTGACATGATATGCTGACGTGTCAAAAGTGATTTTTTTTTCCACAAAAAACACTAAGTTTTCACTTTTTTTACGATTTTGACACTAAGTTTAATTTTTTATTTCAATTTTGACACTATGTTTTTTTTGTTCCAATCGAATATCATTTATCAAATTTTGTTCAATTTTGTCTATTTTCCATTTGAAACCGTATAAATATCTTTTTTTATTACATTTTAAACCGTATAAACATATTTTTTTTCGTTTAAAAACCACATTTTATTAAATACAAGGTGTTTTTTTTTTTTCTTATATTCAAAGCATTAGTTATATCATGAGAATCAAACTAACCATAAGCTTCTAATAAGATGTAAAAATTTGATGGGTTGCAAACTTGATATCCGAGTTTTGATCGACTACACGCCTCCAAACCTCCAAACACATTTTAAAGTTGCATATTTAATATAAAATACAATTTTTATATAACTAATACATATTTATACATAAAAATATGGTTTGAGTGTAAAAAAATGTATTTATACAAAACTATGGTTTTTAAATGAAAAAAAATATATTTATACGGTTTAAATGTATTAAAAAATATTTATACGGTTTCAAATAGAAAATTGTCAACATTGAATAAAATTGGAAAAAATGATGTTCGATTTGGAACAAAAAAACATAGTGTCAAAGTTGAAAGAAAAAATTAAACTTAGTGTCAAAATCGAAAAAAATGAAAACTTAGTGTTTTTTGTGAGAAAAAAATTCAATTTTGACATGTCAGCATGCCACGTCATCAAAACTGACACGTCATCATGCCACGTCAGCATGCCACGTCATCATGCCACGTCAGCATGCAACCTGGTTAACCGTCAAGTGGTCAGAATTGTAACAAATTGGAAACACAGTGTCAAAATTGACACAAAAAAACACGGTGTCAAAATCGAACTTTTGTGTAAAAAGAGTGTTTTTTGTGTCATTTACCCTTAATATTTCTACTTTGAAACAAAATATTAGTAGTAAAGCAAACATATTGTTAACATATTAGTTTTATTAAACATTATAATTTTAATTTTTAAGTCATTGTGATATATACAATTATTTGATAATTTTATAAACCATTTAAAATTATGCAAATTATATATTAAACGTATGATAATCTATATATAATGGGTAACAAAATGTATGAACAAAAAATAGGAACTACAACTTTTATTAACATAAAAATACAAAAACATCTATTATAACATTTGTATTAAAAAAGATATATACACAACAAATAATAAAAAAATGAAAAACAAACACTACAACTTTTAATAAAATAAAAACACTAAAACATCTATTATAACATTTATATTAACTCTTCATATTTAAATCATAAATCTCTTCAAATACATTAATGTTTTTAATGAGCAAAACTTTACAACCTTATAGAAAAAAGGAAAATAAAAAGTTATTAGTGATTACTAATTAATAATCATAAGTTAAAAACTCTTGAGTTGTAACTAATAAATATACATAAATTAGAAAACTCTTGAGTTGTAGTGTAAGTTTCAAATGAATGCGCTACTTGGAAATGTGTATTTATTATTATTATTATATTCGGCTAAATAATTGATTTTGATGCATCATTTTAATCCCTTTAATTATTAAACATAAATATATTTAATTATAAATTTATAACATACATAGGTGCATATATATGTTAAACAAATCACATATAATATATATTTTTGTAAATGTCATATGTAATTCTTGTCGTAGTATTGTGGATAAATTACTTTCATATGAAGAACATAGCATGATAAGTCATTACAATTACATATCAAATGTTAAAATTTATGTTATTTTTTTAAATATTGTCTTGTAAATATGTTGTGAAGAATAACCCAACAAAAAAATAATAGAAAATAAACATAATCAAAAGAGAAAAACTATAATCAAATAAATAAGAATGTTGGGTGGTTGAATATATAAATAAAAATGTTACATAAATATACATTTAAATCAAAAGAAAAAGCTAACATTCGTCTACTTTACTCAAAC